GCCTCAATTGAAAAAGTTGATTGTTCGTTTAAGACAGAGATAATCGTTTTCATTTAAACAAACACAGAATGTGTAAAACAAACATTCAACCATGTGCTCAAAATGAGATAGTTCCTACCTGTGTATTTTAAAGATTTCGGCCTTTTAAAACAGGAGCAATGGCGGCGCGGCCTGTGGAGCGCAGCAGCACTTAATTCCACATTCAGTCAGCTCCTCCAAAGGCGGCCGCGGCGGGCGCACAACCGGACAGATCTCGACGGAGACCGGCGGTCATCCAGGGCTGAGGGCTCGGTCTGATGTGATATACACTATTAGAGAGGTGTATTGATCTACAGGAAAGCGTAGAGAGGAGGTTTGAAGTAGTAGTCCTCAGCGGCAGCCCGAGCTTCGTCCCCCAACAACAATGCAGCTGCGAGGCGTTCTGCCGCGACGTCACCACGTACGGGCGAATACCCGGAAGTGAGCAGCAGGTCATGTTGTGGTGTTGAACAATCAAGTACGAGATAAGTTTTTCGGTTCACAACGACGTACAATGCTGTGGGGAACCTACAGAATACATAACTAAGCGTTTATAATTAATAATAAGTTGCTAAAAATACAGCATGATCTAAAAACACTAGCTGCTTTTATCACTATACAAAGACTGCTGCACTAAGAAATCCTATATTTCAGAACTGGCCCCAATGCCCGCAGCTACTCTACAGTAAAGCATGAAGACGATGTGAAAACAATGTTTGTTACACAAGTTTTATTTAATACTATAGCATAAATGTGATGATATGTAGTATATCTTTAGTGATAAAATATTAAAAACAGAGAGACTATGAAGACTCAGCTGAGTCTGGATTGTTGTTGGACGCAGATGGGGCATCCTCTTTAGACAGAAGGTTGTTTTTCCGTAGGTGGCAGGCCTGCTGGTATGGAGGCTGGATGGGGGGTTGTGTGGGGGGGGTGTATTGGTACTCTTTACTGTCATCCAACTAAGAAATACAAACAAAGAATACAGTGGTTCTCTGAAGTTAAAGTGCAACAGTGGCAGCTTAAAAAAAAAAAAAAGATTACCTGCAGAGGGTAAGTTCGGTCAGAGTCATATGCACTGAGGTCACCACAGGCCAAGAAAGGAACTATGACACGATTTGGACCCTCCAATTGGTTAAAGTCCACATCTGTCAACAAGAAAATGTGAGCGAAAAAAGACAATTATGCATTAGTCTTTGTAACATATGCATTTTCTCCTCTTCCTCTCTCGGTTTTTATCAGCAACAATGCATCACCCCTATTTTAGCTCACTATCTGCCTGTGCATTTTAGAATTGATTTTAAAATTGTACGGATCACTTTTAAAGCTCGTTTAGGTCATGCACCAAGTTACATTTCAGAACTTTTAACCCCATACAAGCCTGTTAGCTCTTCCAAAGTCAAGGCTCTGGACGAAGAGTGACTGAGCCTGAGGAGATAAGGCTTACACCACAGGTGTCAAACATACGGCCCGGGGGCCAGATCTGGCCCTCCAAGACCTTTAATCTGGCCCTCGGCTGATTTTCTACTAAAATATTTTAATTATATTTTCTATTAAAATATTGTTAATTTTCTGTGGTGTTTATCATATCAGCGTCTCAGCGTCTCTGTACATGGCCCCTCCCACCAGAGCAGCACAAATAAAGACTTGTCTCTTTCCAAACGCTCTTAAAGGACGATCGTTTTGACTGTTAACCGTGACACCCTCACCAGAAAAATTTCCAACATGAGAAAAGTGGAGCCGACTGCAGGATTTTACAAGAAAAATTGACTTATTCCTATTTGCATTTTAATGTTAAAACATTGTGTTTAAATGGTCACATTTTTCTATAGAGCTTTTCCACCTTCAAGGCGCTCAAAGCGCTTTACAACAAGGAACCACTCACCCATTCACACACCAGTGTACACAGACACTGTGGGCAAGGTGGGTTAAGTGTCTTGCCCAAGGACACGATGACAGCATTCATCTGTGGGAGCTGGAATCACACCAGCCAACCTGTGGGTCAGTGGATCTGACTGCTCAACCTGTGAATACTCTACCAACTGAGCTACTGCCGCCCCGAACTTGCGTTTTTCTTAAAGTTTCAGGTTGTCCATAATATTATAATATTTTGTAAAAGAAAGTGTTCATCCATTAAAAAAAGATTTCTGTAATAGATTTGCATTTCTCTGTACAAATATTTGAACTTATTTATATGGAGTATATATGACATGAGTTTTCTGATCCGGCCCCTCTGGGATCAAAGTAGGTTGAATACGGCCCCCGGACCAAAATGAGTTTGACACCCCTGGCTTACACCATCAGGATGATCTTTTAAATAATTATATATATATATATATATATATATATATTATATATATATATATTTATATTATTATTTATTTTATTTATTTTTTCTTTTTTAAAATTTGTTTATTATTATTATTATTACTTTTTTTTTTTTTTACTGTAAAACAAGTATAATCCCCAAAAGTGAAAATTGAGATGACTAGTAATAAATATACCATAGGAATGATCCAGCAAAGGGTTGGACATGTTTGGGACGTAACCTTCAGGAGGCTGGTAATTCTGACAGACAACAAATGCCTCTGAAATGATACAGAAAGCATACACATTTAGGGAACATATTTAAGGTAAAGTCTATCACTTAAGTCTTTGAGTGTTCAAGCGTCTTTCAAGATCCAAAAAAGCGGAATATAGGTCTGATGTAGTAGTATTATTATTATCTGTAGCTGTTATTATTATTAGTTGTAATGGCATCTCACCAATGCTGGAGTTCCTGCTGCTACGAGGCTTTGCACAGGTTACACCACTAAAGAATATTTTCAGCTGGGAATATAGCAATGTAACATCCTTTCCTCTGAAAATCTAAGACACAAAATATTTCATATCAATACTGTGTTGTAATCGAACGCTAACCAATTTGCCGGAACACCTCTTTATGCCTTGGGGTTAACTTACTTTGGCAACAAATGTTCCTCCACGCTTCAGTACATGTGTTGTGATGTTTAAAGCCTGTAAAACAATAATGTAACAATAATAATGTATCATTATTATTATTATTATTATTATTATTATTATTATTATTGGTAGGGACAAAAACATCTTACAGCCAACAGAAGTTGAGCCTGGATGTACTCATCCACATCGTGAAGTCCAGTTACTGTAGTGAAAAGAATGAGAGTTGTGTATAAAACTGTATAAAACTGTTCAGTTACAAACAAGTACCAAGTATAGCTAACCATCAGGAGCTCCATCACAAACTACTATATCAGCAGGCTGACCCTCAAAGTGACGGATTATCTCCTCTGCAGTTGATATCTGTAGAATAAATAAATAAATTGCAATTCATTAATCCAATTTTAGGTAACTAAAAAAGATGAACATTTAGCCAGCATAGCCTGGGGTGTCAACAAAGTGTGTCAAGAAATCCTGGATGTGATCATGACTCTTAAAAGGCAATAAGGCTTCAAGACAATCTGAGGAGTGCTTTATATATATTATATAAACTTTTTATTTATTTACTTTATTCTTTATTAACTTAAATGTGAGAGTTAAATTCTCAGAATTTTGACCTTTAAGGCTTTGGTTGGCTCAGGGGCAGATATGTACACATCTATGTGCACTGGCCCAAAAATCCAGCACACACTTACCTTAGTAATGTCTCCCTGAATCTGAGTAACTCCAGGTAGAGGAGCCATTGCCTGGAGATCAACAGCAACAATCTTTACTTCAGCATCACCTTTCTCTTTTCGGTCTCTGAGGAAAAATTAAGACTGCAGCATTCATTTATTGAAATTGTGTCACAATAACTTGTGTTCACCAGTCTGAACCTACCTGAGTTTCCGACTGAGGACCTGGCTCCAGCTGCCTGGAGCTGCACACAGATCCACTGCTCTGTTCACTCCTGCAGAGAATAAGATAAATGCAGATTACAACATCATAATAAACATTACATAACATAGATCATGATCTGTGTATGCTACCCATAGACTCTGTATATAATATAGTCTATGATGCTACCTGCGAACAAGTTGAACTCTTGGTCCAGCTGGAGCAGTTTAAAGGCACTCCTGGCTCTCCAACCTTCTTCTTTGGCCAAACGGTAATAAATGTCCCTCTTGTCTTTGGAGGAGCGACCCATTTTAACTTTCTGCACAAACCGCACGTCACATTTTAATTAGAAATCCATGATCAGGACAAATATGCAAACTATAACTAGTCCTATATCACTACAACTGTCAAAGTAGCCACGACATTAAGCAATATGCACATGAAGTTAAATAACTTATATTATTAAGATAAAAAGAACTACCAGTTCAAGCGTACGTGTTTTTGAGTCTGGCTTACAGTATAAGTGCGTATTTCTTTATCTGAGGGGTCGTTACAAAAACGTTCAGTTAATAATAGCCTATACAGAGAGGTTGTATATACGTTTATGAAAGAAAATAATAATAATAAAACACTACTAATATGCAATACTCAATCGCCACAAATTGATGATACTCACACTGTTGGTTTTTCACGCGTACTTCCGTTGTGTTGATGCTGGCAGGACCCAGAGCTGCCTTGCCCTGTGCCTGATCAAAAAAAAAAAAAAAAAAAAAAAAAAAAAAAAGGGGTTCAAATTGAAATGGTTAACTATTTAGTTTCCCAACAACACTAACCATTGCCCTAAAGTGCACAATACGCTAAAAGCTAAAAGTGCATATCTGTGGAAAAAAATTTGTAAATCAGACAAGCTTTGACCATTCTTTAGTGTTGCAAGGAAACAGTTACAGAATTTACATCTACTGTCATTATTCAGCCAGAAAGTAGACTTCTCCGAAACTATCTATCCTTATGAAATTTATTAGACTTTTCATTGATTTTAATACATTCTAAATGTGGTCGACCTTCCCAGTTACTAGTTTTGCTTAGTTGCTTGTAAGAACATAATCTGAATGAATAAACAGACACTGAAAGAAATTAAGACACATTGATAGCATTTATAGTTTATACTGAATGTTCAGTCAAAAACAATTTCATGAAAATATTCACCAGAACTTCTCTATTTATCAAACTAGAAGACAACAGTCCACATTAATTCCTAAACATTACTGTATTTATTTTCAGCTTTAGAGTAAACAAAAATTCTGACTGAAAATAAATTTACAACAAAAGAATTGCATACTTAATAAATAAAGAAAATGTACCAAAATATACAAATAAAAAAATAACAAAAATGTAATTGTTAAAAAAAAATGTTTGCATTGCATATTTGTGCATTGGACATGACATTAGAAAACATTTCAAAACCAGCAACAAAGAAATTGTTCTTCAAAATAACTTCATCACAGTTTAACGGTTAGAAAGTAAAGGCACATTGTAATAAGCATTTGTGCATTTATTAAATGTCCTGCCTGATGCCAGTTCAAAGACTGTCCTGGCTGGATGAGGTAGACGAAGGGGAGGTAGACATGTCTGTGAGAGAATGGAGTGTAATTTCACATCGCTCTGTTTGGTGGGACTTTGTGCCTGTGAGCCAGGGGTGAAGGAGTATTTGCTCTAGGGTCGGTCTTTCTGTGGGTTGTAGACTCAAACACCAACCAATCAGCTGCCGGCATTCTGTGGGAGAAATGACAAGTACATTAAATACATAGTTTAATATACATCATGACATCTGACATGTGGCAAGACTGTTTATGATGATTTATATGAATTTGACTGCAAATTAACCAAGGGCTTAGGGCTGGGTGATATGGTGATAAAATATAACCAGTAAGATACTACCAGTGTGTAATATTTGCAGTATAGAGCTTTGACCATACTGACCCTGTGACACCGGCCCTCTGAAAATGACACGCCCTCTGAGAATCTCCTCATCCTGTTCAAAAGGGACGTCCCCACACACCATGTCGTACAGAAGCACCCCTAAAGACCACACTGTGGCAGAGGGGCCGTGGTAGCGCTTCAGTCGGATCCACTCCGGAGGGCTGTATACACGGGTGCCTGAATAAACACGATATTACTATTTAATTTGTAAAGTATATAATAATAAAAAAAATCTTAATACTGCAGCAAGTGTTTTGATTTCATCCATCTTATTTAAATTTATTTTTGTTTCCTATTCAGGGGTTTTAAATTTATCTACTTAAAAACATATTTCCAAACTTAAGCATTACTTAAACAAGACTTGCAATCATAATCGATAAACTAAGAACATCACAAAACATAAAAGTTGTATTCCTCAGCAAAAATCATTTGATTATGGTTTCAGACAAAAAATCTCACCATCAAAGTCAGTGTAGGCAGAGTCCTTTAGAAATGCTCCAGAGCCAAAGTCTATCAGTTTGAGTGTTCCAGTCCTTAAATCCACAAGAAGGTTCTCATCCTTAATGTCTCTATGAACCACTCCACAGCTGAAACAATGCTCCACCGCTTTTAAAACTTGCAGAAAAAACCCTCGAGCCACATCCTCCTCCAGCGTGCCCCTCTCTGTGATGTAGTCGAAGAGGTCCTGAGCCGGCTCAGGACGCTCCATTACCAGCAGCCAACCGTCTGGTCGCTCCCACCAGTCCAACAGCTGTACCACACCCCCAAACCCACCTCCCACCTTCTCCAGCAGGACAATCTCCAGAGGAACCACACCACTGGTCTGGATTAAATCAATGTAAAAAGACAAACAAAACAAACAAACAAACAAACAAAAAAAAACGTTAGGATTAAGAGTTTTTGTTTAATTAAATCATTTAACTTGACTATTAAAAACCTCTCTTATTCTGGGTTATACATTAATAATGGGGCTACTTGCAGCCATTTTAGCTAATGGTTTATTTAAATGTCAAATTTAAATTCTGTCCAGCAGAGGGCACTGCTAAACTACGAAAAGGAATCCAAATCCACTAATCCATAAACACTGAATAAGAATTCAGCTAAAATGCCCTCTATTTAAATATTAGATTAGAGAAACTAATTAATTTATGGATATTTAAGCCTGAATCACAGAATCAATGCACAGATACTTTAGGAAACACAATCCAAATCTCAGAAATACTGCATTATACTGTATTTTGAGTGAATTAAAATCAAGAAAAATACTCACCAGAGTGGCCCACTCAGTTACTCTGTCTCTACATACGTGCTTCACAGCCACCTAAAAGAAAGGACATTATCTTTATTATTCATTTTGTGAGGGTAAAAATAAAGCAGAAACAAAAAAACATCAGTTTGGACAATTGGACAATATATAAACTATGGTCCGCCTCTAGTTGGTCTATGGCTCCCTTTGTTAAAACAAGACCACATTCAAAAATCTGATGACGCTATGTTGTTAATGTTAAGATACAAAAAGTCACTAGAAACAGGAAGTTTAAACTTTGATCCACAAGTAGAAGCGGATAATATATTTTTTTTGAAGCTATAAAATACTAGACTTTATTTTTTAGAAAAAACAACCACGTGCTTCCACCTGCGTTTAGACCTGTTGCGATTGCATAATTCGCTAAAAACAAACACATTTCTCTATTCTTATTTTCAAAAAGATCCCACATCCGGAAACATGGCGCCTCTTTGTGCTCGTGACTTGATACCCCGCAGGAGCCATGTGCCCGGACCAAAACAAAGCCTGCGCCCGCTTCGTTCTCACCGGTAAACCATCGGCTACACGAACAGCAGAGTAGACGGTGCCAAAGCCTCCACTGCCCAGCACCGCACCAAGCCGGTACTGCTTCTCAAACGGCAGCCTCTCGATTTTGGCTGAAAAACACAAAGAAATCACGTTATAACACTACGACATTTAGAAGAGGCAGCTGAGACCATGTGGCGTTAAGCCGCTAACGTGCCCTCCATCCACAAGAAAACCGACTGACCGACTGACCTCGTTTTCTAGGCACGATGTCATGAGTTTCGATGGCAATTACACTGGAAAAAAAAAACAAAAAAAACAACACCACACAAACTATACATAGCTCAAGGCATTTTAAAGATTTAACGTGATCGCTCGAGCGTAATCGCGCGAAAATTAGGGCGCGCCAAAAAACGTAAACAAAACATGGTTGGCTGCTTTCAAGATAGATAATAGTCGCATTGTATTGTTTATTCACATTCACACTCTGGCTGAACCATTTATACTGATATATGATGAGGTTAGTGAGAAATCAATCCACGGGAGACATGGTACAAATCAAACAAACCATAGGCACAAACGGACAGTCGGTTCTACCCATCAAGCGCCAGTGTTTTGGTGTTAACTAATTGAGTTAGCGATCTGTATGGATCGCATTGGTTAAATGATACGCTGAATGTTGTGGTAATTAGAGAAGACGAAACGGGTTCAGTAGGTTCACTCGGTCAAAGGAGTCGCCGTAGCGCCGCTCTGACCCTTCATATTTGGGTTACCTTGCTGCTGCAGCTGGAGCTTCGCCGGTAATCCATGCTGGTCGAGATGGGAGGAAAAGCGACCAATTTTGAGAGCAGCATGCTGCCCCCAAACGACAGGGCAAAACTCCTAATACCTATCCAGAAGGTATCCGAGGCGTAATTACGGTCCACAAACGAAAACCTGACCGAAATCCTTTAAAATCGCAGCCATGTTGTAACGAAAGGACGACAACAGCAGCAGCACGATGCCCGCTGCTGCTCCGCCGCTCAACCGTTTAAACCAATGTTTTGATTGGGGCTGGTATCCCTCCGCCTCGTTCCCCAGCCACCGTCAGCATTTACACAACATCGAACTGAAATACAGTTATTGCATATAAAGAATAACCAAAACACAATCAAAACAATAAAGATAGTAGTTTTATCAATCAGTTGAAATAAATTCTGCAAAAATCGCAGGGGGTGAGAAACATTAGGGACTATTTGATTGTAGTAAAATCAGCGCTGGAAGACAATGTGAGTAATGCGGTTAGGACTCAGGACAATAATGAGCTAACTTACCATCAAAGCAGCATATTATTTAGCTACTTATAAAGACGATATTTGTATAGATTAATATTAAGCTAACATATGTATTTATCCACAACTGAACAATAAATAAAAATAGCCATAGAATACCACTTGTCAAATAATGAATGAGATGTCTAAACGATAAATTATGCCAGATTCAGTCCAGCTATGTCATAAGAGCGTTACGTTATTTTAATCTTATTCATCATTTTACATTTATTGAAACCCAATTGTCAGGCAGTACCATAATTACACCGTATCTGTAAAATGTATGTGTCTCTATACAGTAATTAATAAATTATTTTATGTATTTATTGAGGGAATTGGAACTTATAAATACGATGGGGCAAAACTCTGTATATACTGTATATAATATACATATATATATTCTCAAGTTGGTATAGCTGTAAGCCAGAGCAGAGCCATGGTGGTGGATAAGAAACAGAACAGAGCCGTGGTGGTGGACATCGCAATACCAAACGATGGTAATATCAGGAAAAAGGAACACGAGAAACTAGAGAAAGCCATGGAGAACCTGGAGAAAGCCTGGAAAGTGAAGGCATCAGTGGTGCCTGTGGTGATCGGAGCACTTGGGGCCATAACCCCCAAACTGGAAGAGTGGCTTCAACAGATACCGGGAAAAACAATGGACATCTCAGTCCAGAAAAGTGCAGTACTGGGAACAACAAAGATACTGCGCAGAACTATCAGGCTCCCAGGCCTCTGGTAGAGGACCCGAGCTGGATGAGGGTGAAAGAGACCAACCACCGTGGAAGGTGAGAGAAAACTAACTAACTAACTAACTAACTAAGTAACTAACTAATTAACTAACTAACTAACTAACTATATATATATATATATATATATATATATATATATATATATATTATATATATATATATATATATATATATATATATATATATATATATATATATATATATATATATATAAAACTGATAAAAGCAATAATAATAAAAAAAATACTAAAAATTGTTCAACAAAAATCAAACATTGCTTTTCACCTGTGGTTCAACAGAATTATTTGAAAAAACTAAATAATGAAATTGGCCTGGACAAAAATTATGGTACCCTTAACTTTATATTTTGTTACACAACCTTTTGATGCAAACTCTGCAAACAAACGATTTCAGTCACTGTCAGTGACACTTCTGCACTGATCAACTGGTATTTTGACCCATTTCTCGTGAGCAAACTGCTCAGCAGAACTGAGATCTGGGCTCACAGAAGAACACTCCAGAACAGTCCAGTGTTTTGTTCTTAGCCATTCTTAGGTGGTTTAGCTGTATGTATTAGTTTATTATCCTGTTGGAAGACCCATGACCTACAACCGAGATCAAGCTTTCTGACACTAGGCAACACATTTTGGTCCAAAATAGCTTGATAGTTTAGAGATTTCATTGTACCTTGCACAGATTCAAAACACCCTGTGCCAGATGCAGCTAAACAGCCTCAGAACATGACCAAGCCTCCTCCATGCTTCACAGAAGGGATAGTGTTATTTTCTTGGTGTGTTTCATTTTTCCTTCTGTGAACATAGAGCTGGTGTGCCTTGCCAAAGAGCTTCAGTTTTGTCTCATCTGTCCAATGGACATTCTCCCAGAAGCTTTGTGACTTGTCAGTATGCACTGTGTCAAATTCCAGTCTCACTTTTTTATGTTTTACTTTCAACAGTGGTGTCCTCATATGAAGTCCACTTTGGCTCCAACAGTGACGGATGGTGCAATCTGACACTGATGTACCTTGCCCTTCAAGTTCATATTAAATTTTGTTGGAGGTTGTTCTGGGCTCTTTGATTACCATTTGTATGATCCATCTCTTCAATTTGTCATAAATTTTCCTTTTGCAGCCGAGTCCAGGGAGGTTGGCTATAGTCCTGTGGACCTTAAACTTGTGAATAACGTGTTACTGTAATCACAGGAACATCACGCTGCTTGGAGATGGCCTTATGGCTTTTATCTATATTCTGCTTGTCTATAATTGTCTTTATAGTCTCCTAACACAGTTATCTTCTTCACTTTCTCTGGTTCATGTTCAGTGTTGTATCCATCATGTCTCAAAACATCACAATGACACATGTCTCCCTTTAAACAGGCAGACTGACTGAGGACAAGTTTGTAGACACCTGTGATGCAGATTAGAGGACACATTTAAGTTTAACATGTCCCTTTTGTTCAGTTATTCTTTTGAAAAGCAATTAAAAAACAGTGTCAGATTTTCATTGGTTATTTTTCAGGAAATTTTTATTTATTATTATATATTATAAGTTATTTCAGTAAAAATTGTTGATTTCCCTTTCAATACCAGAGGGGTACCAACAATTTTATCCACTACTGTATATATATATATATATATATATATATATATATATATATATATATATATATATATATATATATATATATATATATATATATATATATATATATAATATATGAAAATGTGTTTCTCACCTTCCACGGTGGTTGGTCTCTTTCACCCTCATTCAGCTCGGGTCCTCTACCAGAGGCCTGGGAGCTTGAGAGTTCTGCGCAGTATCTTTGCTGTTCCCAGTACTGCACTTTTCTGGACTGAGATGTCCGTTGTTTTTCCCGGTATCTGTTGTAGCCACTCTTCCAGTTTGGGGGTTACAGCCCCGAGTGCTCCGATCACCACAGGCACCACTGATGCCTTTACTTTCCAGGCTCTCTCCAGCTCTTCCTTGAGCCCCTGGTATTTCTCTAGCTTCTCGTGTTCCTTTTTCCTGATATTACCATCGCTTGGTATTGCGATGTCCACCACCACGGCTCTGCTCTGTTTCTTATCCACCACCACTATGTCTGGTTGGTTCGCCATCACCATTCTGTCAGTCTGTATCTGGAAGTACCACAGGATCTTGGCTCGGTCATTCTCCACAACCTTTGGAGGTGTTTCCCACCTTGATCCTGGGGTCTCCAGCCCATACGCTGCACAGATGTTTCTGTACACTATGCCCGCAACTTGGTTATGTCGCTCCATGTATGCTTTCCCTGCCAGCATCTTACACCCTGCAGTTATGTGCTGGACTGTCTCAGGAGCCTCTTTGCACAGTCTACACCGTGGGTCTTGTCTGGTGTGGTAGATCTGGGCCTCTATTGCTCGAGTGCCCAGGGCCTGCTCCTGAGCAGCCAGGATCAGTGCCTCTGTGCTGTCCTTCAGACCAGCCCTCTCAAGCCATTGGTAGGATTTCTTGATATCAGCCACTTCAGTTATGCTCCGGTGGTACGCCCCATGTAGGGGTTTGTCCTGCCATGATGGTCCCTCCAGCACCTCTTCCTCTGGACCCCACTGTCTGAGACATTCTCTGAGCACCTCATCTGCCGGGGCCTTGTCCTTGATGTACTCAAGGAGCTTGGATGTTTCATCCTGGACAGTGGTTCCCACACTCACTAGTCCTCGGCCCCCTTCCTTCCGGCCTGCGTACAGTCTCAGGGTGCTGGATTTGGGATGGAACCCTCCATGCATGGTCAGGAGCTTTCGTGTCTTAACATCTGTGGTCTGTATCTCCTCCTTTGGCCAGCTTACAATCCCTGCAGGGTATCTGATCACTGGCAGGGCGTAGCTGTTGATTGCCTGCACCTTGTTCTTGCCATTGAGCTGGCTTCTAAGGACTTGCCTCACTCTTTGCAGGTATTTGGCCGTAGCCGCTTTCCTTGTTGCCTCTTCGAGGTTGCCATTTGCTTGTGGGATACCAAGGTACTTGTAACTGTCCTCAACGTCTGCTATTGTTCCCTCTGGGAGTGACACCCCCTCTGTGTGGACTACCTTCCCTCTCTTAAAAGCTTGTCTAAGTCTATCCACATATTCTTGACACCTACACCATAGGTAATAGACAGTAATAAACCATTTTTGATTGTTACTGTATATTTATCTACGCAGCACCTTTCTTCACCTGCTGCCATCTGCTGTTCAGATCAAAGCCTTTTTCCACTGTAGTTCCCATAATCCCTTCCGTCTCTTTAGGAAATGCAGGAGCCACTGGGATTGTTGTGACTGTGAAGGGAGCGGCCTGCGTGCATCACATGACCTGCTGTATTATGTCAGTTCAAATGTAGGTCAGTTCTACACCTCCCCCTCCCCTCACATGTACATACTGTATGTCAGTGAAACAGATTGAGGGGAAAAGATGGTCCACGCTCCAAGTGAGGTGAGATTACTGTCAAAGACACTAAACTGATGTGAAGACAAGAATTTAGATTTTCACACTTTGGTATGATTGTAGTTAAGAAAACCATTGACTGAAGACCAGGTTAATACCATTTGTAGCCTGTGTGTGTATAGGTGTCAGTTTAGGCACCAACACACCAAATCACTTGGGGTTTACATATGTAGCTAAAAAGGAAGCACATTCTTGATTACTGTGCTTTTACTACTTTGGAGTCTGTTTTGGAGTTGTGTTAGATTTCCAGTAAAAACTTGATTGAAGTTACCATTTGTAAGTTTATTGGATAATTTTTCCCAATATATGGCAGATGTGAAGCCTCTTCCCCTATTCCCCTCACCCTGGCGTTTGTTCAGTTTCACCTGTGCGCTATGGTTTTCTTCAGTCAGGCCAAAGCTGGCACATTATCTAACAGCAGGAAAACATATACCATCTATGTGTGAATACAACAGGATCCAGTCTTATTATAAACTGGGACATTATAATTTGTCT